TGAATGAAAAAGGGGTGGCCCTCCAGGCCAGTGGAAGGGTTTCCCAATTCTGTGTGAAAGAAATTTCCCTGAATTGACGTAAGAGATGGAAGGACATTGACTTCAGTATGAACCACAGAGCATGTCTTCTCCCTTGACATTAATTAAGAGTTATCACAGTGAAGAGGACAAATCTTAATAACATGCACCATGCAGTGGAGAAGATTATTGATTTATCACTACTGACACTGAATATTCAGTAATGTCTCTGTCCAAAACAGCCATCAATCTCTTAGGAGGAGAATTCCATTGAAAGATATTTGAAAGGGTAGAAACAGGCTTGTGTTGTTTGAGTGCTGTTCAACAAAGGAAATAGGTATTTTAAAGACGATGTCCCAATTTCATTTTTCAGTATTCTTATGCTGTAGTTCATGAAAACTGAAAATCCATAACAACGCATCCTAAAAAATATTCTGTTGCATGGTTATATGGCTAAGCAAGCACAGGTAAAATTGATAGGAAAATACCATAGAAATATTTAGCTCTTGACTAGCAGCCAGTTGGGGAACAAGGGAAGCCTGAAAAGAGCAACAGGGCCTGCCTGTTTACTTGCTATCTTCTATGAGAATCTCCTTCTTTATACCAAACTTCTTCAGGACAGCTGCAGGTATTGCAAGCAGCCCTTACCAGCTTGTACCTCTGTGGGTAGCAGCTGCCTGTTCATTGTTAGGAGCTTCCTCACATGAGCAGCAAAGCAGTGCTGACGGCTCCAAGGTTGCTGTGAAAGCCTTGCATAGGACACTCTTCTTCCTCTCTCCATGGGTAGAAGAATGGAGCAGTGGAAGCTGGTGGATCTGGTGCTCAACCTGATTGAGCTGCATGTATTGCCACACCTCCTCTTGGTGTCTTCTGCTTTTCAGGTGTTTGAGATGTCATACAGTGACTTGGTCTTCGGTCTGCCCAGGGGTGTTAGCACCCGGTGGTATAATGCTGAATACTCCTGCAGCAACAACTGGAATGGAAATGCTTGAAACGTATTTTCCAGGTAGCCACAAAAATACGTGTTTGTAACTTGGTACTTTGGGAGTATGTTCTCAGCTTGGCAGAGCAAGGGTTAGCCCGCAATGTAAAGCTGCAAAGGGCTATGCCGGCAGCCTGGCTTATCCTGCTGGGAAAATGAGGTGCTAAATACCAAATGGGGTGCAATGAACACCACCCAACTTCTAGAGTAAAGACAGGGGACCTTGCAGAAGACCCAGAAAATAAGCAGAGAACCGTGGGAGGACCGTATGCAGAGAAGCCGTGCAACCACAATACAAACTGGCCATGTAAAAATGCAAGCAGCAGTGGACACAGCTATGTACCTGGAACTAGAGCAAAGCACACACGTCCAGGCTGTCATCACCTCAGGAAAGCAGCACAGAAGCTTTTATTGTGGATGAAAGGGTAGCAACAGGCTTGGATCAGTGGTATCTGTTATCACATACACAGGCTTTGGCTTTGGGAACTTGTTGGGTCTTTTCTCATTTCATCATGCTTTAATTTTTATTTTAGATTATCTTATATGATTCAAAGAAATTCAAATAATTCAAACTTAATAACATCAAAGTGTTATTAAGCAGACATCTTTATTACAGCGCTGGACGCATGGGGGATATCTCCTCCTGACATGTGTGCCTCGTGTTACCAGCATCTGAATTATATAGAGTACATACATTCATAGTCATTGCAATTGTTAGCATATTCATGACATTTCTGAGAAATGTGTAACGTACTCAGATGTCCCTGACGCATGCTCTGTTAAGTGAGTCGGTGGTCCTCTGGTGGTCTCTGGTGGGTTTTTGCAGTACTTGGTCCCCTTAACTTGTCTGTGCTCCTGAGGAACTCTTTTCTTATCTACTTGCTTAGCTTGTATTTTAACATTGTACCGGTTCCTGCCAGTTACTTGGTTAAGATAAAAGATGTTGTCCGCAGTAGTTTATCTTACACAATCCTCGCATACAAAAGGAAGTTTACAAAACTCACATTTGATTGATTTTACATATTAAAACCTTCTTCCTTGTCTCAGACCTTTGTTTCATATATATCAAAACCTGTAAGACGAGGCAACTAAAGCTCTCCTCTGTTAAGCATTGCTTTCTTTTGAAACAGTATTTTAGAACACACTTTGTGAGGGTAGGAGTGTGTTGATAACAGATTTTTTATATTTTTTAATGAGAATTGGACCTTTTTTGGTGGAACTGTAAGTAAGCTTATTTTCTGTTTAACAGGCTGGTAAAGATATTAAGATCTAAGGATCTAAGTTCTCTGAACCAAATGAAATACTGTTGAACAATAGAAGTTATGTTAAGTTTAAATAAAAAGATCCCCAGAAAACTGTTAATTCAATGCTTCTGTTTCTTTATTACCCCCCTTTGCTTTTCAAAGGGAACGATGAAGTCATGCAAAACTGAAAATTTAATATGTTTCAGAATTTGTTTACTAGTGAATGATTACTTAAGCATTTCTGTTTATATGGTCAGCTAATCATATGATATTTAGATGCTATTTAAACATTTTCCTAACAGAATTCCAAGACTTAAGGTCACAGCAAACAAACTCCTTTTCTTTCATACCTCCGAAGTTGCCTGGGGACAGCTGTGGGCCTGGTGAATTTGAAACTGTGGCCGAATATCAAAAATTGCTACAAAGGTATAAAATAGGTTAAGTGCCAGGATGTAAGAGGGTTTAGTTTGGGGTACGTTGCAGAGCTGGCAGGACTGTCCTGAGTCACTTCTTTATCCGAGTTTCCTTTGGCATCCTGCTGTTACTGCGTGGGTCAGCAGGAGTGTGAAGGTGCTCTGGCACAGTATCCTTCGTTCTCCATTAACGTGCCGTCAGGAACAGGTATAATGGCTTCGCTTAGATATTAGCCCAATTTTCACAGCTGTTTAGGATGGGTAGGAAGGAGGGATGAGTTGGGCCACTGATAACTAGGTAACAGCCAGATAGCCCTCTTGAACAAACTTCATACCTGGTTCCCGTGACAGCCTTGTAAGGAGCATATTTGTCTACGCTCCGTAGCTCTCTGAACGTGCCTTCTATGTTTCTAAAACATTGGTGCTAGAACTGGCATGTATCCTTGAGGTCCATTTGCCTTGTGTGCTGAAAGAAGAGGCCCCTTTGCAGAGCCCTGTGTTTGTCACTGATGTCCTGAGAAGTGAGGAGACAACCTGGAAGAAGCTTTTATCTGTGATCTCCAGCAGTGACAACTCTTGCCTCCAGCAAAATTTTGGCCCGTTTTCAGTGGTCTGTGCTGTTTGCAGTGTCCATCTGTTTCTTCCCAGAGTAGTGGAAATACCCGGCCAATAATGCCATCCAGGTGTCCGTGCTGCTAGGGCTCCAAAGAATTTAATTTTGAGGCCACTGTTATAAGCACCAACTATTTACACCTAGTTTGAATGTCCTTAAACCATATATTGCCTGTTACTGGGTAATATTGAACACTTAAGCAAGGCTGGGAATTTTGAGTGCAAAGACTCAGTTCATTTTGCTCTCTGGCATATACGCCAGAACATTGTGTTCGCATTTGGGGATGCTGAGTAGGATACACAAAAGGAAAAACAGGTTGATAGACAGAAAAATAGATCAACGTGTAATGGTTGTGCGTGACAGACTGAAGAATAATGTATAAAATCTGTTTATTCAGGAGAAAATATTTACTCAGGATTTTCTTTTCTGCCAGTGAGTACCTCATGGTGGGGAAAAAAGACAATTCTCTTTCTGAACTGGGGCATTTAGTTGCCTTCTGTTGCAGATCAGTGGCTTTATCTGCTTATCAGGTTTAGGACCCTGTTAAAATTGTTTTCAACATCTTAGTTACTTAATCAAGAATTACTGTTAAAACTTGCACTGCTTCTAAAGTTTCCACTCAGTTTCAGGTAGAACAGTTCTTTGTTATCGAAGTGGGTAGTTTTATCCATATGTTGTGCACTTAGAGGAGCTCTTGACTAAGCTTCATTGTATCACCAGTTCCAAGGCTGAATCTAGCTCCTGTGAGATGCTGTCTCACAGTCCACAACAATAAAGTTTGGGGGGAAGGTAGAAGGAGTCGCCATCTGAGGAAGCCCACCAACAGGGGATGTGGACAGAAGATGAGCCTTTAGCATGTCAGTCTTAGCTTTCTGTTTGTGGGCAGAGTCAGCTATGGCTTTTGATGGTGCGTTAACAAACTGCTGGGCAGGAATCATCTCTTAGTGTAGGAATTCTGCCTGTCAACTTGTTTTTCTGTATGACAAAACTTCTCTGTAACCTGACCGGCAAGCTCATTGCCAGTGATCAGAAGTCCCCTTGAGTAAACCAGATTCATCCTGCACTGTTCTCTTCATGCTAGGAACCATAGACAGTCTTCTGAAAAGGAAACATGAGCTGTCACCAGTTCACATTTGTAGTTGCTGTTTCTGGAATATATTCCCTTCTCTTGTTTCAATACTCCAAGATTTTCCGAAGCAAGTATCCCTCTAGATAGACTACAAGAACCATTTAACTTCTAAAAAGTGCAATGGAGTGCTGAGTAGAATAATGAAAATATATTTGTGTCCTCCTCAAACCTGTTTATGCTGCCAGGCTGACTTTCTTGCTTTAAAAATACTTGGTTATTATGAACGATTGTAAAAGTTGATAATTCTTAGAAGAATTCTAAATTCTAAATGTTAACTATGAATTTCAACTAACAATACTTACAAACACTATTCAGGGTCTGCTAACCGCTGCTTCATTATGTAGATCTTCTTTCTTGAAGGTGTAGGGATTATTCCATGCCAGTATATCTGCATGTTTGTATGTGATGGGGTGGAAGCAATCCAGCTGGGTGGCTGACATGGTTATAGGGTATCTTTTTGTGTAATCAAAGAGCTCATCTGCTTCTCTCCTTTATTGCAGTTTCACATCCTTGAATGTCCCTCTGTTTCTTGAAGATGAAGAAAATGATTGCATGCTTTTTTCTGTTACTTGGACATACTCTGCTTTCCACTGTCTCTGTCATGGCAAAAGATCTCCCCGGAGGACATTTCACCCGAAGAAGGGATGTTAACTCACAATATCTACTAGGTAAGTTAGAAAAAACCACCCCAAAAACCCAAACACCACCACCAAGGGCTATCTCAAATACAAATGATAAAAGGCATGAGGCAAACCTTGGCTGAGTTAGTTTATAATAAAAAGGAGATTGCCATTTGCAAGCAGTTATATGAAAAGTTTGTTGACCAGTTAGCAGCTGTTGAAAGAAGGTGTTTACTTTTGCGGTACTAGATCTGCTTTATATAAGTGATATTTATTTCAAATAAATATTTGATACATGTGTGTTGTCTTGGAAAAAAGACTTTATTGTCACTGTTTAGAGAAAATACATATTGGTCCATGGAAGTTCTGTCAAAGCTGCCTTTTACCATACCAGCAAGTTTCAGCTGTCTGTGTGTTTGTGCTGTGGTTAAGGGTGACTGAATGGAAATCAGTGGCTTTTGAAATGAAGCTTGTCATTACATTACTTGACATTAATCCCTTCATTTTGTCATGTTAATTTTATTTATAATGAGTAGCTCATTTATCCTCTTTTGCCAAAAATCTGAGGACAGGATCTAGCAGTTTTAGCTTGTGGCTGTCACGTTTTAAAACATAAGGTTCATCTCTCTCTTGTTGATCATTGCCTGTACGTCATCAGGCAGTTTGCTGGTCAACTTTTTAATCTGCTGACAGTTTGTGACTTAGAATTTGGCTCATTGTCTAAAGTAGTTGTCAGATGATGAAAACATCACATGGATGGGGCTTTGGGCACGGCCCATTTATGATACACATCAGTAGTAGATCTAATCAGATACCTCTCTCCAGCCGCTGGGAGATGTTAAGTGTCCTGCCTCCCCATAAAGGTCACCTAACCTAGGTGATCATGAAGAATGTGAAATGTCCTGCAGAAGAACGAAGAAGAAAGCAAGCCAGAACATGGGGGAATGGGTGACAGGGGAGCACCAAGTTTTATCAGTGAAACTCGTCTGCAAACAAAACATAATCCTTTAAATATGTAAAATTCCATAAAGTGCCATTCACAGTTTGTCTTTCGTTAACTTAAAAATACTGGTTTTTAATTCCCATCAAACAAATTTAAGCCAAATGACAACAGATCTCCCTTTCTTACTTGTCTTTCTCAAAACTAATAGATGTGGTCTTGAGACACTTGGGGTTCTGCAACTGAAGGCTGAAAATGACAGCTCTGGAGATCTAGTCCATCAAAAAACATGGATGTGGAACAGCAAAGAGAAATACCCACATTCACACCTTACTCAACAAGACTCTCAAAATTTCTAAAATCCTAAATTCTAAAATGTGATTAAATAGCAGCCCCTCCTGATTTTTTTTTTTTTTAGGGTCCCCAGCAAATACCCTAAGTGAGCTTAAGAAATAAACTACCCGTCCCCTAGAAAATTAATGCGATAGCAAGGTGTTATGTGGAGAAACTAAAAGGCGTCACATTTCTCAGGTTGCCTTTACAAGAAGGGAATGTACTTGGCTTCTGTTCAGTAGAAACTTTTTAAAAATTATTTTTTACATTGCTTTTATAGCCTTGTTTTCATATTTTAAATAGTGGAAAATATATCAAAAGAATTAACATTCGATGTAAATCTAAATGTATAGATTAAATTATTTCTTCTCTCAAAAGCCAAGCTATTCGTGGTCCCTGCTTTTGGAAAATTCAGGATCCCTATTCAGTTTGGCATGTGCAGGACGCAAACAATTCTGGCAGCTCTGGCTGAAGGAACCTTTTCAAGACATTAAATGATGCAAGAAACTTGGGACGTTCTCTGGTCCAGCCCATAAAAGTACGTGGCAGTTTGGAGTCAGACTCTTGGGCCTTGCGTTCTGCTACAATAAATTAGGTCACCTGCTTCAGATTCAGCAGTGGATATAAACAGTGGCATGTTAAAATGTGCGCCTCCGTAAAGAACAGAACGTGTAAAACGCATGCCACTCTGCTGGAAAGCTGTAGTGTTCCTTAAATGACGTGAGAAAGAGCAGGGCCAAACCATGATCTCAGTGACATCACGTCTGTTGATGTAATGTAAACACTCCAGACTTAACAGCAATTTAACAGGGATTAGAAGCTGTTCCATTCTATATAATACGTATAGTATAAATAGTGGTGGTGATGACAATCACTGGTGGTGTGGAAAGACTCGGTTGGCAGGCAAAAGTAAGCAGTATAGCTGCAAAGAACCCACAGATATCTGGAAAAGTAAAAAAAGTTCAGGTTGTGTTGGGATTTTTTGGGTGGAGGTCTCTGTGTTTTTAGGACTAAAATGAAGGGTTATGCTAGGTAAATGTTAGTAGCGTTAAAATAATTTTATTCCTTTTTTCTTCATCTTACCAACTTGTAAAACAAAAGTGTACAGCTGCGATAACTATTTACTGGTAAAATACTAGTAGTGGCCATGTACTACTGGTAGAAGTACAGAAGTGAAATTCCTTGCTCCAGAAAACTGACAACATAAATAAGCAAAATGGAATGGGTGAAAAATCCCAGGGGGATTGTCCACATAGAGATAAAAGTGCTTTGGTATCCAGCTCTAGGAGGTTTTGATTTTTCAGCAGCCACGCATTAATACTGCATAGCTTAATTGTCTTGTTAGGGCTAAGAGCCTATATGTTTTAATTGAAGGAATGAGCTGTCTTTTCTCTGTTTTTCTCATCCCCAGTCTTTCTGCTAAATCTCGATGTGTGTTGTCTTAATTTGGCAGATCTTTGCATCTCTTATTGTTGTTTAACATGTTATCTGCCTAGCTAATTATATACATATATATAGCTAATAATTTCCATTAAAGATCTGAAATCTTTTGTGCAAAGATTGATTGGACATAAAGTTTTGGAACTTTCTCTGTGTGGGCCTTGAAAGCCAAACTGCTTTGAATAGGCTTGGCTTTTCAGGCTTTTCTTTCTTTAAACACTGAGTTGAACTTAAAAGAATTTAAAACTTGTCAATTGTGCCAATTTAATTACATTTGGTAACATTTTCTTAAATCTTGCAGGATATTACTCGTAGAATATGTCTAGCTGGTTTAGAGGTAGAAAATACATGTGTGTTTCTCATAATAACAGAATTGGTATTAGATTGCTGGAAAATACTGTTTTAATGTAGATGTTTTTATGTTTTAAAGGATTGTTTCCATAGTCCTGCAAAATCTTGTGAAATAAGAGAAAGAAATAGGGTGATCCATTTGTCTTTCCTGTAGGAGAGGGTGGTCGCCTCTCCCCTTAAGTGGTGCATAAACTGAATTTTGCCTTCTCTTTCCACTCATCAGTAATTTGATCCCAAGCATTAGATCTTTGGCCTTACCCTGATACCTTAAAGGAAATTAATCTTTTCTTTTAGAATCTTTTCTTTTAAAGGCTTTATCAGAGCTCTGAAGAGTTTTTCCTTAGCGCTCTGACAAAATCATTGTTCCGGCTGAGCGCAGCTGCTTTGTCAGGTTGCACACAGACCACCGAGAGCACAGTTTGCCAGCTTAGCATTAGTCCTGGGATACTAAAGAAAAGCGGTAATGGAAATATACTTAGCTACATGGTTTTAAAGATAAAATTACATCCATTACGTTAGCTAGTTCCATTCAGAAATAGCTGGGCTTCTGCACCTAAATGAACTAATCAAGAGCTGTGTCAGTTGTCCAGAGTGGTGATTCCCATACTGTGATTTCAAGGCCACGGTCAGAGGTCCACAGCACCTTTCAGCAGGTTCCATGCTCAGAAGCAACACGTACCCGGTCCTTGCAAGATGTAGCTTTTTTTGGTGTTTGATGATCTGGGGTTTTGTGGTGGAGGAGATTTGGGACCTACGCCCTACTGCATCTTAAGCATTTATTATAGAACAAAGCAAAGCAAAATTTCAACATTGTGGAAAAAACCAGAGGTTTTTGTGTTTGTTGTTTTCTTGGTGAACTCTGTTCTTGTAAACTGGGCACGTATTTCATGTCACATGGGCATATTTCTTCGGAAAACTCTGAAGTGGATGCATGGGAGTAATTGGATAAGTTGTAGAATAATATTCTAAGCAGCAACATTCCTTCTGTTCCTTAGGAATATAAAACATGCACCTACCTGGTTTTGAAAATAACTACTTATGTGAGGAGAAAAGCTCGTTTAGGAAGCATTTCTTTAAATACTACATGATACCAGAAGAAAGAAACTACAAGAGATCAACTGATACTGCGCAAAATTGAAACAGAGAAGGGAAAGGAGGCCAAGAAGGAAATGTACTTGGCTTCTGTTCAGTAGAAACCGCTGCTAAACACCAATGTCCCTGTGTTAAGTTATATTTTACAACAAAATATATAATGATTTATCTCTTGGTTGTATGGATATGATTCCACTAATAATATGAAAGGAAGTAATATGAAGTACACAGAGTGCTCAGTAAATTTATGAATCATTTGCTATGTTCAGTCAAAATTATTCCAAACATTCTTATATCCAGCCCAGTTCTTAAACCTGCATGTATGTAACTTTAGGGCTCAAGAACATTTTCAGGTTAACCATTCTGGGTTAAATTTTAGCCAGAAATCAGAGGGGAAAATATGTGACAAAAGTGAGTCTGGTCCATGATGTTTCTGTGGAGTGCAGGTAAGATTTCTGATGAGTTTTGATTGAATTCATTGTACATTTATTCATTCAGAGCTGGCCAGAGATCTCTAAATACTGCTAATGTGGGCTGCTGAACGAACATGGGATGGTAACTGCTCTAAGAAACTTATTCACAGCTTCAACATACGTGTCTATGTGTTATTTCTTTACATAAGTGCAACCCTGCCAAGTTCTTTTGTCTGCAAAGATGTTGAGTAGACTCATTGCAACTGAAGTCTGCATTGCAATTGAAGTCAGAATTGTGTCATGATAACTATATCATGCGTTTGACATACTGTGCTGGTATAGTATTTGGGGAGAAAAAAAATATTCCATGCAGCAGATAAAGGTTGGAAGAGGTAGCAAATTGCATCTTTTGAATTACTGCATATTTAATTAAAATATAAGCAAAATCCTCTCTGATTAAAAGGTAACCAAACTTTTAT